CTTTCGCCATTACGCCACAAAATGCTCCCGGGTCATCCAAAACCCTAGCCAAACCTATGCCCAAGTCTGAAATCATCATACAATCCTATTGGAACCGTCAAATCTCAATTCCGAGGTCGTTTACTCAAAATGTTGACCGAAGTCAAACTTGGCCTTTTAAGCCAACCTTAAGGCACGAAGTGTTCCGATTTCAACCCGAACTCTTCCAAATCCCAAACTAACCATCCCCGCAAGTCATAAATCAGTAAAAGCAAGTAAGGGAAGTTTCATTTAGGGGAACGGGGTTCTAGAAAGCAAAATGACCGGTCGGGTCACTATAGTAAAGCATGTCGGTTTTTGGTTCATAAATCTAATGATCCCGAAATTCATGTTAATACGGTAATTTGAATCAGATAATGCTGAATTCTTTAAAAGCATCTATCCGTATAAAACTAAAAGCGATTCGTTAAGTGAAAGACCTAAACGACCATGGGAAGAACCAAAGGAAAATACTCCACGTGAAGAAGATCCAAGGCGTAGAAAACGTCAAAGAATATCTACTTCCTTTGGACCAGATTTTGTGACATTCTTGCTTGAAAATGAGCCTCAAATGTTTAAAGCAGCTATGTCATCCTCAGATTCAGCATTTTGGAAAGAGGTAGTCAATAGTGAGATTCAATCAATTTTTGATAACCATACATGAGAATTGGTTGATCTTCCTCCGAGAAATAAGCCTTTAGGTTTGAAATGGATCTTTAAACGAAAAATGAAAGCTGATGGCACTGTTGACAAATATAAGGCAAGACTTGTTGTCAAAGGTATAGACAAAAGGAAGGCCTTGATTACTTTGACACTTACTCGCCAGTAACGAGGATAACATCTATTAGGGTGTTAGTGGCACTGGCAGCCGTGTATGGTCTTGAAATCCATCAAATGGATGTTAAAACAACTTTCTTAAATGGATAATTGGAGGAAAAGATTTACATGGAACAACCTGAAGGTTTTGTGGTTCCGGGTAAAGAAAAGAAAGTGTGCAAACTAGTTAAATCGCTTTATGGACTTAAACAAGCACTCAAACAATGGCATGCCAAATTTGATCAAACAACGTTGGCAAGTGGGTTTAAAATCAACGAGTGTGACAAATGTGTTTACATTAAAACACTCCAGGTCATGAAGTCATTGTTTGTTTATATGTTGATGACATGTCGATAATGAGCAAAAATATGACAGATATAAATGCTACTAAGCGCATGTTGGCTAGCAAATTCGACATGAAAGACTTAGGAGCTGCTAACGTGATCTTAGGAACCGAAATTCACAAGACTCCACAAGGTCTATTATCACAGTCTCACTACATTGAAAAAGTACTTGACAAGTTCAAGTATTTGGATTTCAAGATTGCCAAGACTCCAATTGACGTGAGTTATGCACTTCAAAAGAATGAAGGTGAAAGTGACTCACAATTGAACTATGCAAGAGTATTGGGAAGTTTGATACATATCATAAATTGTACGCGACCAGATATAGCATGTGCTATTAGCAAATTGAGTCGCTTTACAAGTAAACCCATTCAAATACATTGGATGGCAATGAAATGAGTTTTGGGGTATCTGAAACATACCCAAAATTATGCTTTACCTTATAACAAATATCCCTCCGTGATTGAGGGATATAGTGATGTAAATTAGATCACCAGATCATCTGACGTTAAATCCACGAGTGGATATGTTTTCACAATTGGGGGTGGAGCAGTGTCTTGGAAATCATCCAAAGAAGCGTACATCGCGAATTCATAGCTTTAGATAAGGCCGGTGAAGAAGTTGAATGGCTCCGGAATTTCTTGGAAGATATTCCATTTTAGCCCAAACCTTTGGCACCTATATGTATACATTGTTATAGTCAAGCGGCAATAGACAGGGCAGGGAGCGTTATGTATAACGGAAAATCTCGTCATATACGACGGAGACACAATACCATTAGACAACTACTCTCTAGTGGTGTTATCACGATTGACTACGTAAAGTCAATGGTTAACGTGCCAGATCCACTTACAAAAGGCCAATCTAGAGAGGCAGTTGAAAGATCATCAAAGGGAATGGGGTTAAGGCCTAGGACAAGTCATCATGGCGGTAACTCTACCTAGCAGCCTGGAGATCCCAAGAGCTCGGTTCAAAGAGATCAAACAAAGTTATGAATGACGGTTCAACATTTTCAAATAACTCAACCCATTCTCGTGATGAAGACAATGTTCAGATATCGAGGTAACGCATTAAGGCTTTTTGATGAGTCAATAAAGCTTAAAGCTTTTTAATGATTTGCTAAGTCTGGCAGGATATGATCAGATAACATGTCTATAGGATTAACGTTTAGAAATCACCTATGTGAGTGGAAAGTGTAAGCCACTTCAAGGGGAATGAAAGTAAAGGCCCATTCTCTAAGCACTCATGAAAGCAGGCGGTGTTCATGGCTGAAACGAACACAACCGTGAGAACCATAGATGGTTAAGGTTGATTGTGTGACTTATGTTATCTAGGTATACAACAAAGCTCGACGGTTCAAAGATATCAAATCTACCGGTTGACCAAGTATATCCGATATAAGTTCACTACGGAAAGTTCAAAGGAAAACCTACTTATCCAGATGCAACTAATTCTTGCATGTAAATCACACACGCGTTCGTGTATTCCTTCATTTTATAGCCATTCCCCATGCATGTGGGGGATTGTTGGATTTTTTAAGCTTGGTTAAGCTTAAACAGGGTGAATGGGAAATGGAGGGAAAATAAAATATTTGAATTTCCCTCCTTGGTAAAGCGACATTTTCCCATATTGGAGGAAGAAAAGACTTTTGATGGTTATATATACAATTGCTCTTCTTCTAGCTCTTAATGAGTTAAGAAGAAGGCAAGCCTCGCGTGGTCATCGTCGCTCGCTCGTTCGGCTTCGGCTTCGGTCAAAGATTGATTGATTAATCTTTTTGGACAAAATTTCTTTCAATTATTTAATTAATTAGTTTAATTAATTAACAAAAATTCAACCCAAAATAACCCAGGACCCGCGACGCGACCCGGTCCGATCCGTTTTCTTTCCCGGATTATTTTAAATCCGTTTTCCACAATATTTCAAACAGAAATATTCTCACCTGTTCCAACAGCCATGGCTATTTTTTCAAAAACAGTGCCAGAAAGTCTACAAATATGCTTTGAATCACAGAATCTTTCCTTACGAAATTTTCTGATCTTCTTCTTCTTCTTCTTCTGCACAAAATTTTCCAGTTTTTTTTTACAGCCTTCAAGTGGTTCGCTGTTTCACCAGCATTTTTAGTACAAACACTCCGGTGAGTTAAATTGTTCTATTCTGGGAGGATAATATTCCAGCACCTCGGGTGCTTGAGGGGAATAATTTCCTTAAGGACACACTGTGCATTCAGTGAGCCCGATTTATTCCGAAATTATTTTCAGATATTATTTCGACATTCTGTTGCTACTAACTTTCTATTTCTGTTTCTATTTCAAAAAGTTCACTGTTTTTAATTATTTATTACAGTAATACAAGTTGCCTAACATTGATATATAATATTTATGCAAAATTATTAGAGCAAGGTAAACCTTTAATTCACACCATACTTAGAGAGACCACCAACATATAAATTTGGTAAAACTTCATATTTGAACAGAATTTGACTTGTCAACCAGGGCGCAAGAGCGGAGCTAGAAGCCCGTATGCAAGTTCGGTCGAACATAATAATTTTTGCTCAAATAGTATATTATGTTAAAAAAAATATATGCACAATATTAAATTTAGGAATCAATTATTAGCATTTGAAGTTGTCATTATAAAATTTGGAACCCTCAAAATAGAAATCCTGGCTCCACCTTTGCTAGGGTACTTTGGCATCATTGCCTCGTTGAATATTAGGGATCAGATTTTTTTATAAGTTATTTTTCTAGAAAAATTAATATGTCATGTTAACTTTAGTTATTCACCACTTCTTTATGATAATAAGATTGGATTTTGTACATATACAAATATTTTATAAAATTTAATTATATATATAACTTGAGCAAAAGACAGTAACACTCGCTGTCTCTCTAGAGTACATCCTGTCCTTGATTGGAATAGTTCGACTCTGTATCAAGAACTATGTAGGTACAGCTAGAAGATGCCGATATAACGCTTATTAATTAGAACTCCAATGCTAAAAGTATAAGGCATCTAAAATAGCCAAAAAGAAACCACCACCTCAAGTGCAATACAGCAATAGCACTTGTGTATGTTTTTAAGTATGAACCGTCAGTCCTCATACATATCGTCTAGCTGTTTCATAATTTGACTTTTGCATATATTCCTTTGTTTATTCCCCTCTTTCTTTTGCTTATTTCATTTTCAACTTTTCATAGGGAACTGAAAGATTTAATATTAGTACTTATAATGTGACCTAGTGATCAATGATATCGCCGTAAATTTTGGATATCAAGTTTAATTAAATCATAATTGAGATAAAAATATATTATGTTATTTATTTCTATCTACTTAACTTTGCTGGTTGTATGTAACATGCATCTTATGAAATAGTCAAGGTGCACGCAAGTTGCTTAATTGATTATATTGATTGTAGCTAGCAGAAGCGGACCCAATGATTTTAACGCGACAGGAGTCAACCAACGTCCCCTCAAGGGTTTACACGTGCCAAGTGATAAAATTGACCATTTTCAAGGTATATATATCTATATATAAGACTTCTACCGAAGTTTATGGACGCTGATCTGATTACCCCTCAAGGTTACACATAAGTTCGCTTCTGGCAGTTCGATAAAATAATCGAGATACAGGTCGACTCAAACACCTATAAAAAAAAAAATTAAAAAAGAGGTAAGTTAATATTTGCACGTTTCTTTTGCATTTAAGCCATTAGCCAGAAAGAAGTGACCAAGAAAGTGGAAAACTTTATTGTGCATGGTTCTGTTCACTTAGTTAATTATCCATCTCTTTAATATTCTTTTTGCAAGTATATATACCCCTTTCCAATGTCTTCTTCCTCAAATTAGATATTTCCAACTTCCTCTCTAATAAGTCCATTTCAATGGCTAAAGTTTATTCTAAAAAATCAAATCTAAGTACTATTTCTTCTTCTTCTTCAATTTCTTCAAACTCTTATATGAGCCCAAGAAGAGAAATATTTACTTTGTGGATGAGATCTCTAGTTTACCATGGAAATGGTTGCACTGTTTATGATTCAAAAGGCCAAATTGTTTACCGAATTGATAACTACAACATAAAACGTAGCAAGGAAGTCCATCTCATGGATTCCAATGGCAAAGTTCTCTTTTCTATTCGAAATAGGGTAAGCATAAGTTGGTCGCTCGCTGCTGGTTTGATTCTTTTTTATGAACCAAACACGTAAAAGCTCTTTTAAATAATTGAGCGACAACGAGATTTGACTCCACGATTTTGTCTGCTCTAGTTAACAGAGGCAGATCAAGGATTTAATGCTTATGGGTTTCTGCAATGAGCTAGTTCGAGTAGATTTTCAATAATAACTGGGTTCACATTTAATATTTATAGATATTTAGTGAATTTTTCAAACACATTTACATTATTCGGACAAAAGCTACTGGGTTCATGTGAACCTATAGGTCGCAAGATGGATCCACCCATGCTCTAATACCACATTGTATTATATAACCATTTTATTTAAAAGTTTAAACTGCTAGAGAATTGCAGTATATTTTTTATTTAGTTAATTCTATCTCTAACAATACTCAAATATTTTCTTGTTTTTTTTTCTCCTCAGAAAGTTCCAGTTTTTGGACATTGGGATGGCTATAAATGGAGTTATGAAGGAGTGACTAGTAAAGAGATACCATGGTTTCAAGTGAAGAAAATTCACAATGTCCTTAGGGGAGATAATATGAATTACTATAATGTTATATTGGGATGTAATCAAGCTGAAGCAAACTGCTATAACATTATCCTTGGCACAACATCAATTAAAATTGTGACCCAAGCAGGCAGACTTGTTGCAGAGGTTAGTCACTACCCTTAATTTTGAGATAACAACATATAACCGTCCGTAAAAATTAGAATAATAATATGAAAAACGATACAGGTTACCTGTTATGACAAGTTAAAGTATACTGATCGTGTAAAATTTTTTTTTGGCTATGTGTTTCTCAGGTAAAACAAAAACAAGCAACTTCAGGAATACTATTTGGAAGTGATGTATTAACATTGGTTGTGGAACCTCATGTTGATCACTCATTGGTTATGGCTCTTGTTACTGTTTGTGGTCTAATCCATCACAAAATTTGATAATAAACGCAACTTATTTGGCACTGAATCGTCGTCGTCGTTGTTGTAACATCTCTTTCCTTTTTTCTTTTCTTCTTCCCATTTTGTTGGGAATGACAAACATTTGTACCTTAAAGAATGAGTTGTTTGGATGTAATCATGTAATGAATATTGAAGTGTAAAATTGTTACTGTGTCCTATCTTATATGCACAAGTTGTTCTTGCAAGATCTTATGTATATATATTCATATGAAAGTCACAAAATTTTGGCTTATAAAATTTTCAGCAAAGATTACTTTTAGCCCGTGGTGGAACCTATTTATATCTGATAGCCGCAAAAGTGTATAAAATTTATATTTTTTTTATATAACATACAGAAATGTGATTGCATATATATATATATATATATATATATATATATATATATATATATATATATATATATATATATATATGTATAATAAACTTTACCAACTTACGTATTTTTCTAAGACCCATGAACAAATGATACAACAATAGGACACATGGGAATTCAAGAATATAGGCACTTCTTAATACTTCTATGAATAGAGTCATTTATGGAAGTATTAAGAAGTGCCTATATTCTTGAATTCCCATGTGTCCTATTGTTGTATCATTTGTTCATGGGTCTCAGAAAAATACGTAAGTTGGTAAAGTTTATTTCATGATATTACTAAGAGGTATAATGGTCTTATGACGTTCCGGGAAGTTTTATTAACGTACTTCTCATGCATTGCATTCATTTACATGTGCATTTACCTATGACTCAGATGTCTCTCTCTCTCTCTCTCTCTCTCTCTCTCTCTCTCTCTCTCTCTCTCTTTATATATATATCTATATATACATATATATATATATATATAATGTACATTTTTCAATTATTATTTTCAGAGCAGCTATTGTATTGGGAAAAAACTGAATTTAAATATTGAAGATGACGTGTCATGACACGTGGACCAGTCAAATAGTCAAAGTGTGGTAATCAGTTAGAAGGCACGAGCAACAACAGATGCGGGAGAAAAGATACTTAAAGACACGAGCTATTATTCAAATGAAATGAGACTCGTACCTGTTCGAGTCATTTAAAGCTCGAAGATCGGAATGAATTGAAGTCATGAATCTGATAGCGTAAAAGAGTCCAAATTCAGCATTAAATGCCAAATACGTTAGAGAATTTGTATTTAATAGGAATGATTGAGTAACGTTTCTTTTAATGTCATTTATTGCTCGTAATTGCCTCATTAAGACAAAGGCATTACACTTTCTCTTAGAATTAACTATAAAAGGAGAAGGTCTCAACATCTGTAGGGGAAAAAATATCATTGCGATTATACTGAAATATATACTTATTCATTGCTTTATTGTTGTTCTCAAAGTCTCTCATTTCTTGATTATCAGTAACCCGATTTCTCTCTTAAATTTTAGCTTTAACCAAATATTCAGTTTTTTGGTTAAACAAATTGGTTCCGTTACCGGGAATCTGATAATCTATTCTTTTTAAGTTACATTTTATCTGTTGTTATCATCATGTCAAACAACAACAGCAACAATAACAGTGAAAATACCTTGGGAAACCATCAAAATCAAGGTGATTTACAAAACATTAACGTGGTTCCTTCCCCTCAAAATTCACCACATCAATCTCGTGAAGGCACTCCTACTCCTGAATCTCGTGCTGTTGAACAAGAGCAATCTGAATATTTTGAAGGAGCAGATGACGCTTTACAAAAAGTGATTGATGCACGGGTTAGCAAAGCTCTTCAAGCTCTAGTTAGTCGATTACCTGTTGCACCACCCACACCTACGCCTAATAACAATACATTGGAGAATCCTCGTTCTGGCCTTGTTAATTCTGGAAATGGAGGAACCCTCAGTGAGCCACAGGAAGGAGAACCAAGTAATTCAAATAATTCTCATTTGCAAAATTTAGTACTAACTTTGCAGAAACAGCTTAAGGAACAAAATGAGCGCATCGAGCAAATCCCTGGAGTTCCCCCTGTAATCAAAGGAGTGGATGTGGATAAATACTCGCAACAACCTTGGAAACCAAGTGCTGCTCCCCTTCCAATCCCTAAAAAGTTCAAAATGCCTGACATCTCGAAATATGATGGCACAACAAACCCACGTGATCACGTAACTGCATTTACTACAGGTGTAAAAGGCAACGATTTGACCAAGCAAGAAATTGAATCCGTGTTGGTCAAAAAATTTGGAGAAACACTCACCAAGGGTGCATTAACCTGGTATTCTCTTTTACCTGAAAATTCTATAAACTCTTTTGCTGAGCTTGCAGATTCTTTTATTAAAGCGCACTCGGGAGCTCAAAAGGTCGAAAAAAGAATGGAAGACATTTTCAAAATTAAACAAGGGGACTCAGAGTTGCTCAGAGATTTTGTTGATAGATTCCAACGTGAAAGGATGACTTTACCCGGGTACCTGATAATTGGGCTGCAATAGTTTTGCAAGCAACTTAAATGATAAAAGTTCAGAAGCCACGAGAAGACTTAAAGAAAGCCTTCGGGAGTTCCCTGCAACCACGTGGAATGACGTTTATAACAGGTACAGCACGAAGTTGCGAATTGAGGAAGATACCGTACCTTAGTTTCATCATGAAGAAAGGAGCAATTCCAGGAGGTCAGAAATCGAAAAAAGATCAGGTAAAAACAGATACGATCCATATATGGGACCTGCAGGAAAAGACTCACGGTCAAAGGAGGATAATCAACGATATGATCAAAAATCGAGGAACAGGGAATCTGGTTCTTCATCAAGGTTCAGAAATGACCGAAACAGACAAGAGTCACGAGATGATGACAGAGGTTTAAAAGCGAGATTCGGTTGATATAATTTCAATGTCACTACCTCCGAGCTCGTAGCTGTTTTGAGGAGCATGGGAGACAAGGTACGGTGGCCAAAAGAGATGCGGTCAAATCCAAATAGGCGCAATCCAGATCATTGGTGCGAATTCCACAATGATCACGGGCATAAGACTTCAGAATGTAGATTCTTACAAAGTAAAGTGGACCATCTATTGAAACAAGGGTATCTCACTGAGTTATTTAGTGAGAAAGGTAAGCAAGCCTATATGAAAAATAGGCAAGAGCCACCAAAACCACCTTCGCCCAAAAGAACTGTCAACGTTATAAGTGGAGGTGAAGAGGTCAAAGATGTATCATATAAAAAGGTTTCAAAAGTGACAATTACTCAAGGGAAGAGGCCTCGACATGTACTGGAAGAGGAGAATGTTATGTTCAACAACGCAGATGCCGAGGGACTCATAACTCCGCATAACGACGCACTGGTAATATCTTTACTTGTACATGATACTAACGTGAAACGGGTTTTGGTTGATCCAGGTTGTTCTGTAAATATTATTTTAATACGGGTATTGCGCGAGATGCAAGCGGAGGATAAATTAGTCCCAAAGGCGCATACTTTGTCGGGATTTGATAACTCTAGTGTTGTAACAAAAGGGGAGGCCATACTTACCACATTCGCAGAAGGCGTCGTCAAAGATACCAAATTTCAAGTGGTAGATATGGAAATGGCTTACAATATAATTCTTGGGAGGCCATGGATTCATGACATGGAAGCTGTTACTTCAACTTTACATCAAGTTATTAAATTCCCATCTCCATGGGGAATATGCCAAATTAGAGGCGATCAACAAGCATCTAGAAGCATCAATCCGTTGCAGATTCAACTGTTAAAGATGAAGACAAATAGCAATTACAGAATTTGGGTGAGGGTAACACGGAAACAACCTCACCTGAGCAAAAGCAAACAGATCTGGATTCAAGGCCTGATACCATTCAAGAATCAGAGGAGAATGAGAACATCAGAACAACGATAGAAGACCTAGAGGCCGTGGTGTTATTTATACATTGGCCCGAGAGAAAAGTGTACATAGGCGCTAATCTTAGCCCGGAGGTAAAACGTAAATTGATTGAATTTTTAAAAGCTAACGCGGACTGTTTTGCTTGGTCCCATTCTGACATGACAGGGATACCACCGGAAGTCATGATTCATAAGTCTAATGAAGATCCATCATATCCTCCCGTCAAGCAAAAGAAAAGAAAGCAAGGAACTTTCAAAAATAAGGTGATTCAATAGGAAGTTCAAAAGTTACGAAAAATTGGTTCAATTCGTGAGGTAAAATATCCTAACTGGTTAGCTAATACTGTTGTGGTTCCTAAGAAGAACGGTAAGTGGCGAGTCTGTGTAAATTACACAGATCTTAATAAAGCCTGTCCAAAAGATTCCTTTCCTTTACCGCACATAGACCAGTTAATTGATGCTACTGCAGGGCATGAGCTATTAAGTTTTTTAGATGCATATTCAGGCTATAATCAAATCAAGATGGATCCAGGTGATGAAGAAAAAACTTCTTTTATAACAGACAGGGGGATTTACTGTTACAAGGTAATGCCCTTCGGTCTTAAGAATGCAGGTGCAACGTATCAAAGGTTGGTCACTCAAATGTTTCAGGAACATTTAGGTAAAACCATGGAAGTATATATAGATGATATGCTAGTTAAAACTCAACATTTAGAAGATCATGTATCGCACCTCTCTGATACGTTTAAAATTTTACGAAAATATAATATGAAGTTGAATCCAGAAAAATGCGCATTTGGTGTGGCATCAGGAAAATTTTTAGGTTTTCTTGTTTCTAACCGTGGTATTGAGGTAAATCCTTCACAGATCAAAGCAATAGAGGAAATTCCTGATGTACTTACGAGCAAAAAAGAAGTTCAAAGACTAATTGGGAGAATTGCAGCTCTGGGGAGATTCATTCCCAAGTCTTCAGAAAAATGCTTCAAAATTTTCTCAGCTTTAAAGAAACAGGATCATTTTGAATGGAACGAAGATTGTCAGCAAGCACTTAAGCATCTAAAAGTATATTTGTCAAATCCACCGTTGTTGGCGAAACCAAAGGTAGGAGAGAAGTTACTCATCTATCTTGCCGTATCAGAAGTTGCGGTAAGTGCTGTTTTAGTCCGGGAGGATCAAGGTAAACAATCTCCTATCTATTATGTAAGCAAGTCTTTGTTAGATGCAGAAACACGGTACCCGCAACTAGAAAAATTAGCACTTGCTTTGATCATGGCATCTAGAAAATTAAGACCTTACTTTCAATGTCATCCCATTGCTGTGGTTACTGCTTTT